TTAAATCTCAGGGGGACCTGTCTTTTCAGGTCGAAACTTCAAGACTGTGGAATGCCCTACCCTTGACTCTACGTATGACTGAATCTATTGATGATTTTAAAAAACAGCTGAAGTCACATTTATTTAGACAGTTTTTTAATTGATTGGGTTTATTCATTTTATAAATTGTGTTGTGCTATGTGAGTACTTTTAGGCTTATGTATATTATTTATCTCTTTTTATCTTTTGACTTTGTAAAGCACTTTGTGACCTTGTCTGTGAAAGGTGCTATATAAATAAAATTTACTTACTTACTTATCACCACATTCCCAGACCTTCAGGGCTCAGAGAAGAGGGTCAGGTTGTGTGACGCCCACACACAGTAGCCTACTGGTCGGTTTTGAGCCAGAGCACATCTCAGCGCAGCTTTGCCAAGGATAATGTCAGGGTGTGTCAGGTGATTTCTTTTCTTCTCAGCTACACTAGACTAAATATTAAAATAATCATAAAGTTGCATCACATTTTTTTTACTGGAGAACAAAGCCTATGTGTTTATATTGCAGAATGTGAACAAGAAAATGCAGTGTTTATGGCTATAACAGTATCACTTGCATCAAGGCGGAAATTGAATTTTAATGGCCATTTTTCTATAGTTCTGTCATTACACAGCAAGCTGTCATTGTGTTACACTAGGCACGTTTTTGGTCTTTTCTAGAGTCTTTTAAGAACTAGTTGATGAATACGACTAAAACAGTAGGCCCAGAGTCAAAGATTGCTGTTGTTTTGATCTTGGTGATATCCATGGCTGGAGGCGTTATGTTTTTGGGTTCTCCATCCTGTGTATGTCTGTACAGCCCATTATTGTGAATGTGATATGTCAGGAGCGCCTTGAGGGAATATGGCACAAGTATCTTCCAGGATGAACTGATTAGATTTTGGTGGTCATGTCTGACCCGTTCCTGTGAAATTGACTGGTTAGCAGAGACACAGAGCCGCGAAGTGGTAATTCTAGATTGTGTTAGTTCTATATTGACTTTAGTCTGCCTACAGAACCTCCAATAATGCATTTACATTTTTTTGCCTACCCAGTAATTTGGTAAGCCCATTTTCTTCAGTGATTTCTTTAGCCCTTTAGCTTGACTTTTGCCTTCTCCAGCACTTAGTCAGACCAGTTCAGACTTCATTAACACCTCACTGAGGGCTTTTAAAGGTTTCACTAAATTCTCAAATGATGCTCTATTATTATTTTTTCTTCAAGTATATACTAGTTCCTATTAAAATAAAACAGAAAATTTCTGTTCTTTTGTTTTTTGATATCCAGTTTCTGACAACTCATTTGAGATCTGGATCAGACGATGTGAGGAGATGATGGCAGGTAAGTAGCTTGTTTGGAATTATTTAAAAACTGCAGCGGTACTAAATGTTGTTACACAAGATTCACTATGCCAGTGTCACTTAAAAATGTTCAGACTTTCAAATACATAAAATGTTGTACTTTATTTTCTGTACACTACTTTCTCCCTGTTGTCAATCACTAAGCTAAAAGGCACAGGCAGGGAGCTGATCAGCCCGTCTGATCAAACAAATGACCATGCGCATCTCCATGAAGCTCCAGTTTGCACTTAGAGGTGGAGTGTTTAGGCAGGGCTGTTCAGTCCAATAAAAGATGTATGCCGCATCTGGGTGGTGCATTTCTGTTTGCTGGTGATGCCTGGGCCCTCTGGATCATTACAAGTAAACAAGAGCATGAGTTTTGACAAATGCGCTTCACACCCGCATGCACACATTCTCCCATGAGCTGTGTGATTCATCAGAGTTAACATTACTGATGTTTGAAAGCCCCTGATGAGACCCAACCCCTTTTATAAGCATGCTCACAAACAGCACACAGACAAGTGCACACCAGGGTGTACATCACCCCCCCCCACCGAAACTTGAAAGTGCTCTGCTCGCACCGGCTCTCCCTCACATCAGGAGTTGTTGTTTCCTCTGGCGACAGTGTGTTTACCACCAATTAACACGCACACACACAGCACCTGGTTATTCTATCACATGTGGCATCCTACTTGTATCAAAACACACTGACACAGCCTTTTCCCCTTTACAACCCCCCTTCTCACCATTTCAAACATGACCTCATTAAGACAACATTAACACGCCTCCTATCATCTCGTCTCTCTGTGCTTTCTCCCTCTGTGGAGTGAAGTCAGTGAATAATGTATGATAGCATGCTAGTAAACAGTAATCAGGCTTGCTTGAGCTCACAGAGCTTATAATAGACGTGATGGACCAGTAAACAAGCTGATGGCTTGACTGGCACAGTGTGTGTGTCTATATGTGGGCAAATCTGTGCTGCCATTGATCTGTAGACAAGAGCAAGTGCACCCACCATGATTTAGAGACTAGAGTTTGCTTTAGGCAGTTAACAGGTTATTAAATGCTTCCACCTGCTGCATACATACATTTTCTCTTCTCTCTGCAGAACAGACACAGAACAGCAGCATCAGCAGGGTGAGTTTTTCTGCACGGCCACCTGGGGGCACTGTGGCTCTCAGCATCAGTTGTGCTTGCACCTGCTTCAAACATTGAAGCCTCACTATGCTGCTTTTGTTGTTGTTGTTGTTTTCCTCTTTTGTGTGATTTATTTCTTTCTGTTTCATCCCTCTGCGTTTTCACCATCTTCATTTTCTCCAATTGTGATCCCGTCTTGGGGGCTGAATGACCCAACAGACACCAGCGGCCCCACTTGTGAAGTAAGTGCAGAAATGTAAATACAACTTAGTGAGCCATCGTTTTATGTTTCTATTGTTTATTTTTTTTATTATGGCAGCTTATTGACTAAGTGCATCAGAGCGCCCCATTCTCTCTAAGTATGTAAACACAATTCACTTACTGCTTGTTATTGATCAGCTGCTTTTTTTATTATTTGAAGTCCTTGGTTTTCTGAAGTTTATATATTCTGTTCATTAATAGAGAAAACAGAAATGAGAAGTAACAATAATTCAGACTTGTTTATCAGTTGTGTGTGTGTGCGTTTCTTGCAGACATGACTGGTACCAAACAGATTCTCAAGTCATTGTCACAGTCATGATGAAAAACGTACCCAAGGATGGGATGTGTGTCAGCTTCACGGAAAAAGAGGTATAAACACACACCTAAAGGTAGAATTGAAATGAAGCGAGTCAGTGTTTTCTCTTTCTGTGTGTGTTGAACAGAGCAAGCTCTGGGGTTTTTCCTCAGGGGGGCCCATTAGATGGGTCTCATACAGGCGTGCACGCTCTCACACACACACACACACACTCTCCCCATGGACCCAACTATGCCTCCAGTGGTACCTTGTTAACATTGCCCCCAAAGAACAGATCTAAGAACAATTTACCCTCCCCAGCTTCTTCAGCCTCCTAATTGACTGTAGAAAGAAGCCATAACTGATCTAGGATCAGCCATTGAGCCCTCTGGGGACAACTCTTTTCTCTTTTTCTCTCTTTTTTTGTCTTTCCACTTTCCCTCTCTGAGGGGTAACTGCAGGGCACCCCAGGGAACAGCCTTGTCTTTCCTAATAGAATAACAAACAGAGTTTACCCCATTTCAGAAGAAATGGTTCACTTGCTCCAAATCACACAGTCACATGTTAAACTCCCTCTGTGTTGCCAAGTACAGTTAAGTTTGTGTATTTTTTACTAGGTCAGTATACAGAGAAATTAAAGATGAAAGGCGGTGGTTGTTGTTCTTTTCCCTGGTGACTGAATATGTAGCAGCACTGTACCTACAGACAGCATGGAATTCAACTGGAGATGAATATTAAGGTTTTGCTAGTTTTGTACAATTGCCCAAAAGCTACTTGAGCTGACTTTCTAAGCTTTTCTCCCCAGTGAACTACTTCTGAAAATCATTTGGTCCCAAATCAGAAAAATCCACTTTTAGTTGAGTGCTAAGTAGTGAAATGCAAATGAGTACAAGTTGAAGCGATGTGATGTTGGTCCAAAGCATCGGACAGTACTACATGAGTACAGCATTTGGATGAGAGTGTAAGAAGTGTGAGGGTTTGGGCCACAGCTGAGGCTGCATCCCTCTAAACCAACAAGCCAAGGCCAGTGCCAGTGAATGACAGGCTCCTGGGAGCTGTCTGACCATCGCTGGTCACTCTGTGGCTGAAGGGGACACACCAGCCACATCAGATCATTAATCTCATGGACATGGATACCTAACCCCCCCTCCTCACTCCCTGTTTTTGGATCTTGATTTCTGCATTTTCCTAAAGACCATTTACCACATTCTGGATTTTGAATCCGGTTAAAGAATATGAGCAAAATATGAATGCAAGCATTTCAACACAAGGATTGTTTGGGATTTATCTAATTTAAAAAAGAATGGTGGAAATAAAAGGCTGATTTACTTCATAGTTATGATACCGTTATAAATACACTGTTACATATTTGTAATTTTTCCCTAGTTGTTTACTGCCAAACCTTATGGCAGGTTATGAGGTGTTTGCCTAATATCTGTTGTCTTTGGTGTCTTCAGCTCGATGCCACAATACAGCTGGTATCAGGAGAGAGCTACAGCCTCCACCTCCACCTCCTGCACCCCATCGTCCCACAGCAGAGCAGCTTCAAGGTCCTCACCACCAAGGTAACACACTCATCCCAGTTAGTAATCTCAGTTTGTGTTGCTAGAGCCTGTAGAAACGTGTAAATCAACACAGTCCACTTTAGGTAACAATGAATGTTGATTTTAACATTAGCAGCTACACATAAATGTCCAGTGATCGGACAATGGAAGGTTTAACACACATTTTAGTGAAACAGAAGCAGAAATGCACTGCATGTGTCAGACTTGCGTGCTTTTAAAACACATTTGTGTTAAATGGTCCACTGTGCTCTAAAAGGCACATCAAATTATTGTGATGCCTTGTCTGATACTGGAGCTCTTTTGTCCTCTCTGCAGTGTCAGTAACCATGACTGACCAAACACTGAGGCACCAAACCATCATTAAAAGATGATCGAATGGCATCAAGGTTTGCAGCTAACGTAGCGCTCAGTGTCATTACCAACATGTGCAGGGTTTTGGCCATTTCTGGTGACTATTTGTATTTGTGGACTTGTATTCGTGTCAGGACAAAGTCAGGAAACATGATACCTCTGCTGAGGAGGTTGTAGAATAACAAGGAGTTTTACAAATGGATAATATTTACAGGATGTATTGAATAACCTGATTTACACATAACAGCAGTATTAGCTTGTGGTGTTCTGATGTTTCCTCTACAGTATAAGCTTAGCTGTAGTGGAAAATAAATCTGTTTACCACTTTACAACTTTTTAGAGCTGAAAAACATAAACAAGGAAGAAACAACATTTGTAGGTCATGGAAACACTTCAGCTAAGTTTTCTGAAAGTCGCCGAGAAGTCAGAATTTTACCTAACGGAAGTGAGAAACTGTATGTAACCTTGACGTCCTAGTAGTTACTCTCAACAATAAATAATCAGACTATTAAAAATGTCAGGTCAGGGAACAGTTTTATGTGACTATAAAGAAAATGTGATTGGGGAATGTCACACACTGGAAAGATGCAGGCACTTCTCTGAGCTGCTGTTTTACCAAAGAGCATCAAATGACGTGTGCATTCAGGCTTTTATTTTGAGCCTTTTAAACCGACAACAACATGCCTTTACATGCAAATAAAGAACTAAACAACTTATTGTTAATTTCTTTACATGTGAGTTCGTTTCTTTGTTTAAAAAGATAATGAATTGAATGAGATAACAGCCAAAAAGAAAACCATGTCAGTGTCAGTTTAAATAGCTTCCTGAAATAGTGACTGATTATTACTTGAGCTAGCACGCTGAGATTAACATCTTAATGTCTTCAGTAATTTAAAGCAGTGTAAAGTAGGCTGACACTGTCTATAATTCTTTAATGCTGGTAAAGCTTACTGTAGCTGGAGCAGAAATGAGAATCCACTCTCGCTGGATGTGGTGCTGCTCCTTTGGAGACACAGTTCATCTGAGCAGCTAACAGGACACTCATGCATATACATAAATCCTCATTCCCACACACAGACATGCACGTTTATTGCTGAGAGTTCCTGCAGCACTGTTTAAGGTGATTATGAGCCTAATGAGTAGGAAGGGTGCTTTCTACTATGGGCTAATTAGTGTGTACCTGTATTATCGAGGATGTGGGCTAATGAGCGTGCTGCTTCAGGGTTTAGACCTCAGTCGAGCTTTAGCCTGTGGCTTGAGAAGCAGGGTGTCGTACGAGTTGTTTTGATTGCCTTCTTAATCATTGTGGGGAGGGATTAGATTTTTAGGGCATTGATCAATCTGGTGTTGTCAAGACGGACAAAGCTGTGCCCTCTTCCTGTTTATGCTTAGAACCTATTATTCTGGTGTATGATCTTTCCACAGTTTTGGGGCACAGCACTCTTAAATGTGTTCAACAAAAAATCCATTCATTAGATTCTTATTTTAAAGTCAGAAAAGGGGAAATGATCATTTTAGCCATTCACTGTCATCTTACACAGGTGGTACACACACATTTCCTACTTAAATACAGTATCAGTGGTACTGACCCAAAATGTTTCCATAGAGCTGAGTATTGAACCGTCCAGTGCTGTTGAGTGTCAGATTCGTTTTGACAGTTTAGACCTGATATTCAAAGACTCCACAAATGTGCACCGCATTTTTCAATGAATTTGTCACTTAAAAAAAGCGTTGCATATCTGAGAAAGGTATCAAAAGGTCCTTTTGATGCATGTATAGAAACTAATTTTAGTGCTAGTATTAAAAAAACAATCACATAGTACCTAGACCTATATATGTTTTTATTAGAGCTTTATTTGTGCAAGATCTGTGTACAGGCAGAAACAAAAAATAAGGGTTTACATTAACTGCCTGAGAAGATGCGCTGCGGTATGCACGCTGAAAATCCCCAAATGGTGCAAGTCGCAGAGCTTCTGAAAGCAATGATGATATTTTTATTTTACAGCAAGGCTACAGGGGAAATGAAATGGCATTTCATGATCACAGCTGCTGGAATTGCACACTATGTGGTGCCAGAGTAGTAAAAAGATAATGGTGAATCTGATCAGTAGCACCTGCCATCTGCAGACTTCAGAGAACTTAAAGGAAAACCCTGAATAAATGAGTGCTCTCTTCCAGGATGACAGTGCTCCCATCCATAGTTCATGAGGGGTCACTGGATTGGTTGATAAGTATGAAAATGATGTGAGTCTTATGCTGTGGCCTTCAGAGTCATCAGAGCTGAACCCAGCTGAACACTTATGGAAGGTTTTGGAGTGACCTAGGGCTCTTTCAGACTCTATCAAAACTACACAACCGCAAATGCTTCCAGCTACACAAGGAGGGTTTAATGCGTACTTGCATAGCAAAATGTGTCATTCAATAATTTGAAACACTTTTCAATCCTACTAGATAAATCACCTGACCTGTCTGGGACTATTTGCCTGTGACTTGCCCCCTCTTGGGTAAGTGGTATATTGCAAGAGGCAGGGCAGCCAGTGTGTAAATACTTGTGACCTTTGTGTTTACATAGTTTGCATAGAGTCTGAAACAGCCCTTAGACAGCGTCTCCACCACTGTCGTCAAACACCAAATGAGGGATTATCTTTTGGAAGATTGGTGTTCATCCCTCCAGCAGGGTTCAGAGACTTGGAGAATCAATGCCAAGGAGCACTGAGGCTGTTCTGGTGGCACATGAAGGTCTGACACCTTACTGAGACACCTAATGTTGGGCTTTCCTTTCATTTGTCACCTGTCAGTATATTGTTTGCATTCTATCCACCGGCTACACTGTGCCAAGTAGAGGCTGACCTGCACAGAAACAGCCCCCTCTTAAAAAACACTCACTCCCTTTTTTCACTTTTTCCATGGCAACAGCAGACACTGCATACCAGAGGTGCTCGTGGGTTGCAGCTTAAATAAGGGCACAGTTTTACAGAGACTGCAGTTGAAGATGGTCTTACATTTTATTTTGCTGTCATTTTTTTCCTCTCTTTTTTCTGCATTCAAGTTTCTTTGTTTTGTTAGTCTCTCCATGCCTCCTCACAGAAACACACTTCTCTCTTCTTTCTCACATTCATACAAACACACACACACACACACACCTACCTCTAGGATAAAGAGAGAGTGTGTTGAAACCCTCCTCCTCTCCCACAAAGCCCTGACTGTTCCCTGGTCTGCTGGGCTCCTCGGGTACACATGGACCCTGCACACACATAACGCTGAGCACACAAGCCTTTATTTATAATCGCAGATTTGTCAGGTTTATGATCGCATAAAAGCTCGTGAGTCTTCCCCCCTAACAAACTGAACAGCTTTCTTGATGTGTGTCTCATTTAAATGTTTTTGGAGCTGTTTTTATTTTTGTTTTTTTAAAGCCAAGGAGCCACTGGGGAGAGAAAACATTCAAATGAACAACAGCGTTGGCAAATCAAGTTTCTCCAGATTGGCATGCATCCCTAATGAGCATTTAAAAAGAAAAGGCATTACCCTCGGAGCTGCTGATTCCTAACCAATGTCGGTCGGTCTGTCTCTGTAATAGGCTGCCCTGCACTCTTCGCTCCAATGTTTACGCTTCATCTCCTCGCTGCCTTTAAAAACAACTTAGCAGGGGGAGGCTAAGCCGGGCATGAGCCTGCATGTGCACACACACGCATACACAAATACAAATACATAAGAGGACCAGTAATCTTTCAACACACTTGTGTCATCTACAGAGAGTATTTGCCATGTGCCGTGCATGTGTCATCTAGCACATTATTGTCAGTGCGACCTCGTCCTGTCCTCCATCACGACAGACATCCCAATTGTAGGGGTCACCACAACAATTGGGCACCAATTACACATCAGTGTGTTTGATCAGAACAGGCGGCTTGATGCACACACACACTCAGATGCGTGTACGCAGGCACATTGGACGCAGTTTTGAATCCATTCAGCTCCAAAGCCATCTCTTTAAAGGAAATGGCTAAAGAACCGTCTCCCCTCTTTAATTCTTTAATTTTCATGCCTTTCAAAGTCTGAGAATATTTGTATTTATTTTAGTTGTGTCAAGTTTGTTTTCAAATCCTCATGGATCTGGAAAAAGAGGAAGAAGATGCTGGGTGAGGAGTCACAGGGGGGGGGGGGGTTACAAGCATATGTGACAAGTAACACTGGACCCCTTGTAAATAGTGTGTGTGTGTGTGTGTGTTTGGGTATGTGTTGTGCACTATTGTATAGTCCAGCCCTTGGGCTCCTGTGGCGGTGGCCCCTGTATGTGCCTCCACTGTCACATCCCTTTAGCAGCTATCACTTCGCCTGTCACACACACACACAAACCCATACAGAGACACACCGCGCCCGACCTGCCATGTCTCCTAAAAGCCAGGAAACACAGATGTGGCAGCAGATTAATGTTGTATGGCGCAGGAATCAAAGCGTGCGCGTGCACACAGAGCCTCGGCCTGAGCTCAGCTGCACTTCACACTACCAAAACATTTAAGACAGTAAATGGCAGCTGCTACATTGGCTGGTAACTTTAAGATGATAACATTTAATCAGCTTAGTCTGCTGCGTTGGGTCCTTCTCTGTTCTCGGCCATAAACCTCCTACAATTATGAGCAAATCCAGTTAAAGTGGTCAGGACAGGCTTATGATTTGATGCCTTGTTGCAAGCTGGCTAGATAACATGACTAAGATCATTTTTCATTTTAATATCAGAATATTAAACTATCCACAGGGCCAATCAAAACATCTAAGCATTTAATTAAAAAAGAAGATCTAAAGAAACTTAATGTAGCTTAATCAGAATTACAAGCACTGCTACAAAAGCTGTATTGGGCTGGACAAGGTTTAACAGCATTTGTCAGCCATTAGCACAGGTCTGGCAGATCACCATTTTGATACCGTCTTAAGCCTTCAAAGCACCATAAGACCCCCAACAGAGCTCAAAAGAGCATCTGTGCCCAGATTGCAGGTACATCTGTCAAAACACAAAAAATAATTTAATATGCCAGCAGGAACTATGGCAAAAAAATAAAAATTTTAATTGTTGTTTATCAAACACAGACTGTTTTGACAAAGACGGACTACCCTGACAGCTGAACAGCAGGGTTTAACCAGTCACTGATTTCGCACTGGATTTGATTGATCGGTGTTTAGTATTTCAGCGTCATTTCAGATTAAATGTGTTTTGTTTCCCCATCAGGCTGCACTGATATATGATCTAAAATCTATGTTACTTATAAGCTACTGTTGCCAGAAACTAATCAAGTGTGTTTAGAACAGCAAATTCAAAACATTTGAAGAATGAATCATAGTTGTACATTGAAAATTCTTATGACCACACCTGTGGTCATTTGCATGGTGCTATAGCTCCACAGTACTAGGGCTGCCGCTAACTATTAATATTAATCAATATTGATTATCCAATACCCATCTGGCCCAGGAGATGTATTCAGTTGGCTTGTTTTATTCAGCCAACAGTCCAAAACCCAGATATTCAGTTTATTTTTACATATCAAAATCTCACATATGAGAAGCTAAATTATATCATAATATTCAGCATATTGTGCATGAAATATAACTAAAACAGTTCATTGAAGATCATATTGTTTACCTGTTCATTTTGTGTTTGGTTGAACACGTGGTTGACTATTTGTTGTGACTCTATCGCTCTTGGACAGGATGTAGAAGTCGGAGCAAACTAGACCATTAGATTGTGAAATGACTCTTTATCAAACACAGCTTCATAGTTGCTGAATTTATGAGAAATTGACCCTTAAATGTGCAGATGAACTGAATTAAGCTGTTGACTGTGTTATCAGTGATGTTGCTAGTGGTGCACGTGGTTAATGTCACTGATTGGATTTTTTATATATATATTATACCAAAATCCACCTATGGATGTTTTACTTCTCTTCTAATGTGATGATGCTCGGACCCGACCTGAGAGTGTTTCATCCGAACCCAACCCAACAGTCTTATGGCATATAATGTTTGAACCCGACCTGAGCCTGACGCAGTTTAGTTTGTATGGTGTTTATCTTTAAACAAAGCAGACATTTGAGTGCTCCCACCATCTATCCTGAAGTGTGACCTGCATGTACGACCCCGGCCGAGCCCCTCGGCAACCAACAGGTCCCACAGGGCTCAGTTCGGGCATCCACACACTAGCTCAGAGACCTGGCTGTCAAAGAATCAGATCTTTCATACACATCAGTATTTCAGGTGGTTATTTAGTTCCACTACTTCATATTTACTTTCTTTTTTGCATGTAAAGTCTACTTACTGTAGGGGCTGTGATTGAAAGTAGTAGTTCACATGACAAGAGTCCGACTATAGATGTTTGAACGGCCAGCTGTCATTGAGAGATGTGAGGCGCGATTGATTATTTAAATATAGAAGTAAGTTGTGCTCGTTTAGAAACAAAATGTCAGAAATAGTTATGTGAAGAAAAAAGCTCAAGTAAGAAGTTCAGAACCAGCGTACTTTCTTGCCTCTGCATGGTTCAGTGTGGGGCGACTATGGCTCGGGAGGTAGAGCGGGTCGTCACCTAACTGCCTAACCGGTAGATTGGTTCGATTCCCAGCTTCTCCAGTCCACATGTTGAGGTGTCCTTGAGTCAGACACTGAAACCCCTGTTGATCCTGGTGATCCCATCAGCTTATGAATGTGTGAATGGGCAAGTAGTGTGAAAGCACCTTGAGTGTGCTGCAAAGCATAGAAAAGCTCTATACAAGCATAAGGCCATTTACCATTTAATGTGAAACTGTCAGTTGCAGAAACGTACCAAACGTTTTGGACACAGTCACCCAAATTGTGACGGCAGAAAGGTGTGGGAGGAGACGGATTTCTGAAGTTGTTCAACCAGCTGACAAATATGTGGGGTTGAATGGATTGAACTTGCTGTAGAGGTTCTGTTACAGGTCATGTCAAAATGTTAGCTTCCTTTTTTTGAGCAAACAGACATTAAGATAACATAGACTGTGATATGCACAAACTTGTATTGGAGCAAAGTTCTGACATGGCCTCTTGAAAAATGAATAAGGATTATTTGGGCCGTGACCTATGTTCTCAGCAGAGATCTTTTTTTAGCTGCTCAGCCCCTTCGCAGGTGAGCCGAAAGTTAATTTCGGACACTGCACAGATGCCTCGCCGTGCACAAGGCCCCCTTGGGCCAGAAAGCGCTGACACATACCAAAGTGATCTATCAGTGTACCTGCTACTCGCACTAGCTCGTCTCCTCTGTGGGGAAGGAAGCAGCGATCATGCTGACTTATTTCCCGCAGTCTGCTTCCTTCACTCACGGTTCACTCAGAGCGCCTCAGCCTCCTCGTCTCCAACCTCGTATACCTCTCCGTTCCCCTCTCCTCTCTTGGCACCCTCATAAATGAATCATCACATCGCCCAGCAGAGCAGAAATGTTCCTTAATTGCACCGATATAACCAGCACTGTCTTTCATGTCAAACACACGCACACACACCATTAATAGGGGGTGGGGGGCAGATAGCACTGCAGCTCGCGTGTCTCGCTGGTATGTGCTCTGTCAGTGCAGCTCAGTGTTAATAGCGTGCATCCATGTGCTCTCTCTCCCCTCATTGTTTTCCTCCTCTCCCATGTTCTCCTGGTGTAATGATCAGACGCTGCTGTGTGAAATTAGGATCCTCCCCCTCCCGCTGCAGCTCTCGCGCTGGCCCTCTGGCTGACAGGCGTCTCGTTAGTGCAGTATGTCTGTCAGTGCAGTTTGAGATTGAGCTGTGCCCCCGCATATCCCTGATGTCTTTCTCTCTCACGCACACAAAACACACACTCTCGCAGGCTGAGCTGACGACGGCTCACAGCCAACCTCACTGGCCTCAGTAATGATCTGATGTCCTGCACTTTTAAGATGTCGCTCTAATGGAAGTGTTATTTTTGTCCTGCGCAACAAAGAGGGCCATTTTGTTAAACACAGTCCTCTCACTCAGTCCCTCGTTCTTTTCTTCTGTTTCTCCTCTGTCAGGTGGAGATCAAGATGAAGAAGACGGACGCCACCAGATGGGAGACGCTGGAGGGAGAGGGACAGGAGTCCAACATCAAACACTTCAATCCACGTTAGTGCACAGCTTTGACTTTTTCCGTCCCCCAACTATCCTGGTGTCTCTGCTCTCATCAGTCTGCCTCTCCCTTTCTCCCTCAGCCTCTTCTTAGTTCTCTCTTTCTCTGCAAAAGATCAATATAAGCTCCTGTGTTTGTCTGTTCGGCACTAAAGTGAGAGTGGGCAGTTGAGCCCTGCTAGAGTCTTTCATTTGTCTGGCGGCAAAAGTAGGCAGGGAGAATGAAAGGTATGACAGCAAAATGTGACTCAGTGTTTTAGCCCACACAGTTTTTTTATTTTTATTTTTTACTGACAGGATTAATTACTTATGTAAGTCTGTGTTTGTGTGTGTATGTGTGTGTAAGTGGGAGTTAAGTGGGCAACCAAACCATCTTTTCCATGTAACCCGCTCAGCCTCTGGGTTGCCTTGTTTATAAGTGCCTGCTTATAACTGGGACTGGTGTTGCATTTGAACGTGATGTGACATCTGGTTTTATGGGATCACTTTGCCTTATTGCCTTATGTCCACACTTGACCTGTATAAGTATGCTGTGCGTCTGGGGCTGTATTTATGTAAATCTGTGTCAGGGTCACATTTCCGGCTCTGCCTCTCCATCTCTTGTTGAGGTTATAGTGGGCATATTGCATATAGACATCAAATCACAGTGTGGTCCCTCAGCATCTGAGTTGGATGAACCAGTAGCAAAGTGGGCAAATGAGTTCAGGCTTGCCAGTTACAACATCCTAATGTGATTAGATAAGTCTTTTATGCGTAAGTGCATTGTTAATTAAAATCAATAAGCAATTAGTTTCAGAGTTTTGAGGAGCTCTACTTAATGTCTTGTCAAATGTCTCAGCTGATTTAAAATCTGGTTTGAAATGATATGAACTGCAGCTTTTTAACCTTCTCCATCAGATCAGTACCCGTCATCGTCCCACTACACCCGCAAATGGGACAAAATGGTGGTGGACATCAACGAGGAGGAGAAAAATGAGAAGCTAGAGGGAGACGCGGCGCTCAACAAGCTCTTCCAGCAGATCTACTCAGACGGCTCAGACGAGGTCAAGCGAGCCATGAACAAGTCCTTTGTAAGTTTGAATCTTTAAGTGACCTGCATGTTTTTGGCCAGTGTTCACATACCCAGTAACCAAAGGACAGCAGAGATATTACACTGACAAGTATCAGAATACCTGTGTTCTACAGGTGCATCTTTTATCAAGTCGTGTTTGTTTAAAGGAACTGTGTTTTGTTTTGTTTTTTTTCCAGTCTCGTTTCATAATTGTGGATGTGAACTTTGCACTGAGCTCCAATGATGTAGAGATTCAAGGCAGACGTTACCAAACAAAGCTTTCTGTTTAAATCATTATCACTCGCTGACGTACATTATACACGATGGACGTGGCGTCACCACTTCCCTCCACTATGCAAAAATGAAGTCAAAATATCTTGAATACAGCGGCTGCCATCTTGCTTTTTTGTAACTAGATTCTGCGCAGTATCGGCAGCGTGAGACCGCCAGTCAAAGCTGAAATTCACCCCTTTTTATATTGTCAAATAACTTACCAGAAAATGATCACTTGTACACCAGTTGGTGTGATAAGATCTACCAAATACCACAGAAGTTTTATCTGACATTAACATTAAAGGCGAAACACATTTTCGCGTCATGTCAGTTGGTGTGAATTTGACTGCCTGACCGTTTGTTTATTTGCCCAAACACCAAATGTACCAGCTGCACAGACGTTGGCTGTAAGATAGCTGGCAAGAGAGTCTGTGTGTCAGTGTTCACACTGAACTCTCCAGAAACTCAAGAACCTTTCTAAAATTAGTTTTGCCTCCTGTGTGAGCACAGTCACAAGTCCCACTGTTTGCTGCAGAGTTTTCAGTCAGCTCTAGAGAGCAGTGACTGCAGCAGCACCTCCAGCTTCATGAGGATGGTCAGCCTCTGTCTCCGTTGTTTATCTTGTCTCCACATGAATGAGCTCCTCGTCTGTGCACCCTGGTTGGTCTGCCACCAAAGTGAATTATGCTGACTTTTCTTGAATGTCTTCAGAAATCAGGGATGTAAACTAACCTTCTCTTCCTCCTGCTGCTTCTCCAGCATGCCCATACCCATAACCTCACACCTTTAACATCCATTTATTTGCACTTGTCCCGAGATGTGCGGTATTTTGCAGGAAGCAGGTTTCAAACTCTACAACAGAGGTGCTGTGTGCAAAGTTAGCATGACCCATAGTCAGAACACAGCTATGTGAATAAGAGAAACACTGTCATTTTCCTTAATTAAAACAAATCTGTTTTACACCCCCTCATACACATATAATTTTAAGTGAAACTAATGCAGTACATGCACTGTGCACTAGTCCAACAGTAACAGATTGTCTAGTTAATGAGCTTCCGTAACAGTGTGTTAATGTGAACGGACGGATGTGTGTAAGGCTGTGTGATTACAGCTAAATGTTGATTGGTGATTGGGGTGAATCACTGTTCTGTATTATTAACAAAAACCGAGCTGTGCTTTAACATTCATGTGATGTTGTCACATCTGCACTTGGTTCCACCAACATGGAGGCTAATGGGTAGTTTTGTAAGCAGCTCAGCATTTTATATTCATTGACTTTTCAGCTTATTGGGAAAAAAAGATGAAAATGAAAAGTCGTTCCAATCAATCAACTTTGTTTATCCATACCTGTGGAAAAGATGCAGTGGATGTCCCCAGTCCTTAGACATTTTTAAGCAGGGAGACTGTGTTGCACAACTACTAATGTAATGACAGATTATTCCACTGTTCTCCTGTGTCCCTTCCCTGTGCAGATGGAGTCAGGTGGTACGGTCCTGAGTACCAACTGGAAAGATGTGGGCAAGAGAAAAGTAGAAGTGAGCCCCCCGGAAGACGTAGATTTCAAGAAGTGCTGAGCACCTCCCTCTGTCGCTGCTCTCTCCTTTTTTCCCTCTGTTTGACATCATCTCTCTTCATATTTGCTGAGCTCCAGCAGGAGCGTTCGTCGCTCTGCAGTCTGCACGCCTGTCCACTTCCTCATCTCCCCACCCGTTCGTTGTGTTGTTGCCCTGGTGTTCTCACTCTGCCTTGATGCATGGAGCCTCAGTGTTCCACCTTCACTGACCAAACCACACATGGCCTACATTTTGGGATAGTTTACTACCAGATGGAGCCGAGTCTTTTAAATAATATGTTGAATGGATTTCTTTACTTGAAGTGTTTTTTTAAAAGCCTGTTTGAATTAAAATGTGACAGACTTGAAATGCTCCAATTCAACCTTCAGATTTTTCTCTTTTCCCTTCTGTCTCCCTCGGTTTTCTTAAAACACCCACAGCCTTTCTGTTTGAGAACCTTTTATGACTCCCTCTTATCAGCACCTATATAAAAAAATAAAAGCTCCAATTGAGATGTCTAAATGATAACTATGAATGTATTTCTTGGCCCTCACAGTGTTTTTTTTTTTCTGCGCACTCAGTAAAAAGTCTATAGCAATAAACAAAATTGTCTGGAATCAGTTTGACTTGTCAGCCAGTGGCTCAGCATCGGTCCTTCCCTCAGTGTGATTCCAGTTTTGGTGTAAATAAAAGATTTGTTGTCTGGTTCAAACTTGGTCTCATGTTTTGTGGTTTAGTTGCCTATAGAAACTGTTTTGGACAGGTTTGAGGAGCAGAGAATGGATCTATCAGATGCAAAAACAGCAATATGTTACAACAGGGAGCTGTGGTCTGTGATTATGTGCTGGCAGGGATGAAATGTGGGTTTAGTGATATGAGTGCAGGCAGTTCAGATATGGCTGACAGCTCAAGGATACGTTTTACCTATCTCGGTTCGATTGGTATCAAGTCAGAGAGCCCACAGTTCTTGGCCAGCAGGCAGAGATGCAGCCCTGAGGTGGAGTGGTGATTTGTGGTTGGAGATGTGGGAGAGCAGCCGCCTCCCCGTTCTCCAACTGCGTAGATGTAGGAGCTGTAAGGGTGAGGAGGCGTCCTTCCGAGGCTAGAGAACATTAATATGGATCAGCCTCCTAACCGCATCATCGAGCCTCTCACACTGAGTTAAGAGTTAAATTCATCACACATTGTTTCATCTCTCATGACGATCAAACACCCATTTGTGGCGCTGGATGGGACTCTTACCCGTTCACACACAAGCGCGCACGCACACAGGCAAACACACCGCCCCCATCCTTACCCTCTACCCCTGCCTGAGGCAGCTCTGTGACATCAAAAGGAGCTAAGCGCTTTGCATCATGGGTAAGATCTGGGAGCGTGACGGCTACAGAGTCTTTAGTCTCATTAAACAGTTCCAGGGCTGCAACTCTCACATTAAAGAACTCTGCAAACATCTTTCTGCTTGTGTCTGTGGCGCAGCTGCCAGATGCAACACTCTAAAACTGAAAGGTGTCTGACAGAGGGCCGTTTGCAAATAAACCCAGTGGTAAGTTATAAGCAATTATCTTTTTACAATAGTGCACAAAGTCATACAGCTAGTAACACCAAAAAAACAGGAGTGACACATGACAAATATTTAAAAAAAAAAAAAAAAGGTTTATATTGCACTTGGAGATAGCTTCTTCAATGGAGATTAAAAATACTTTTAGATCAAAGTTTCCAAAAGCAAATGTACAGTACATGGCTTTAATGACTGCTACTCATGAAGATTAAAAAATGTCTCATGAAAGGTTATAAAAGCAGAATATTTCTAACTACAATGACGAAAAACAAACAGTAGATGTTATTGAAGCTGACTGCAGTTGAAGTCCCCTGCACTCTATACATTTATTTCCATCAAAAAGCAAATGAAGGAAAACGACCACTCTGTTAATCCATTTGCTTTTCCCACAGATAAATGGACTTGCACATTATTGAATTCAGTCCTGTGTCAGTAGACGATTGCAAAGACATCCGATGGACATTTCATACCATAGCATGTGTTATAGTTCAGAAGCATCTAAGTCAATAGCATGTATGTGGTTTTAATGAGACGAGCTGTGCAGTGTGCAGAGACTATGTACCATGCATTTATAATGTGTGATTACTGAAACTCATTTTGAACAAATCTGCTCAGACAGCAGTCTGCAGTAAATGAGAAGCCACCATCTTATCTCCCCTCCCTCCCTCTCCGTCCTTCCCTTCCAGGGCCCTGCCACCTTCCAGGTGGGTGGGGGTGTCTATACAACACCCAGAATACGTGCCATCCACCAACTGCAGGGCATGATGAGTCTGCAGGCCACCCTGCAGCCTTGGTAGTGGTATGGCCATGGGTAGTAACCTCCCAGTGGCTCGCAGATCTTCTGGCAGTGGGTGTAGCTGCGACGGCACTCAGCGCAGCACACACCCTCGTGGTCCAGCATGCTGTAGGCCTTCATGTTGCTCTGGTCCTCCTCAACACCTCTCTGAGAGGGGACAGAAAGGACAGAAGTCAGAGGGTAGTGTTCCCAGTGTGACTGTGTGGGTCTTTAGAATCAGAGAGTGCTCATTTCAAGCCAATTTAAAATTGGATTCCTGACAGGCGGGATGGGGAGGAGGGGATGTTGTCAGATTTTTCTTTTTTTTTTTACATAGACGCTTGCTGTTTATCCCCCTCTGTGGTTGTCAAAAGTGTGTACCAGGGTTTGGGGGATGCTTGGAGTGAGAAGGGAGAGGGATTAGGCAAAGAGGGGCCCAACATAAGGGGCGAGGATGGGTGTATGTGGGACGTGTACTGTATGTATGGGAGTCTGTGTGTGCTCAGCAGGGCAAAGAGGCCACAGAGGAGGAGGGGGATGTTGTGGAATTATTCATTCAGCCTCAATGCTGAAAGAAAAGCTTTGGACAGGCTCACACAGAAAACACACCCTCGCATGCACTCAGATTGGCAGTGACAATCCGGGCCCCTCTGCCATGACCCCGGCATCTGCTGCCGCTTGCACAGCTGTGAGAAACTCCTCAGAAAAAGCCTCCTCAGGTAGCACTCAGATCTGAACAGACAGTTCCAAACGCTGACACAACAGAAGAAGGAGAAAAATGTGTATTTGTGTGACTCACCTGATAGGGGTTCTCTGGGTTGAACTCTGCCTCCACATCCTCTTCCTCCCCGGCCCCAGGTGCCTGGCCTCGCTGACGGGGGGCGGCCCTCCGCTTCCTCTGTCTGCCTGCACACATCACAGTCTCAGTATCTGACAGCAGACCAAATGTAGTAGCGGAGTGGCACTAATGTGGCTCAGCCTCTGATTGCACAGCCGTTTCTCTGGCAGCATTTTGAAGTCCTCAGATGAAGTAGAATAAAATTATGTTGGGAGAACTTTTGAACCTCCAGCATGCTACAAATTGTTCATTCAGTAGCTCAGAGACTTCAAAAGGCCCTTTCTTTTTAGCATGTTTTTTCTGAGGCTTTAACAACTGCAGTGTTAAATTGAAATACTTGAGACCATTTGACCCACATCCTCCTTGTTTTGTGAAAATAAATTCACAGCCTTCAAACTGACTGTTTCACTTTCAGATTTTCATATTCAAAACTTTACTGAGAGTCGTCTCACTGCTTACTGGTTGAGTAGGTGGGACGGAGCCAGAAGACTGGCAGCTCTCCGCACAAGTCCTTGATCTTGTTGCTGAGGAAAGCGGAGTCAGAGACGGGGGTGTCAGCCGCCACCCAGATCAGATCGTCCTCAAACTTGGCCGGCATCACCTCGTCCTCCTTCAGGGGCGGAGAAGGTGAGGAGAAAAACAAACATCTCAGCAAAACATCTGGCTGCCGAAGGTGTGATATCACACTTACGCCTATATCTTGTTTCCATCTTTCCCTTTTAAATAGCCCACACTCTGCATTCTGTTAAAGTGTAATCTACAATAATGTTCTGCTGTAAATGCTTCTTATAATAACATAAAATGAAGGAGTAAAAAGGACGCCCGCGAGCCTTGAGTATACAGATCCTCTTTGCACTAACATGTAGCCATAGACACAACGTCAGGAGATTGGATGGCCTAAATGAACAGGTTTCGGTAGATAAACTAATAAGCTTTCTGTGTTAACATACTGTATCCACAGCCTGCACGTACAAAAGGAACTCTGTGGGGATGATATTGCCTAGAGGCATTTGTTCCTGCAGGCTGCACTGCACTAGCCACAGTCATGTTTAGGGAACATTATCCTCCAGCCTTTCAGAAATACGGCTGCATTTTTCCCCCCAGCTCAAATGATTTGCTGGAGGGACAAATAAAAGTGGGGGTCCTTCTTCTGTTTGATAAGAGTTTATCTGACCTGCTCTCTCTGGATGGGGACGTGTGCAAGTGCATCTATGTGTGTGTGTGTGTGTGTGTGCTTATCTAACCCATATTTGCCATCACTCTAAATTATAGCAAATGACCAGCCTGCAGCAACCATTATAACCTCTCCCCGTCTCCACACACAGACACACACTCACAAAGCGCACAAATGTGAAGCAAACAATCGTTTATGAGGCAAAGAGAAGCAATAACACAAACACACACTAAAGCACCAACGTGAAATAAATGATCATTTATGAGGCAGAGAGAGGCAATAAGAGCAGCCTTGCGTGATAATTAATTGTGTGCGTGTCAGTGTTTATACGCATACACGTTCATGAGGCCAATTCTAGTGATGGGGATTTATGTGGATGTGAGGCTTATGCAGAACTAAATTATTTTAATTATCAGACAGCCACAATTGAATAGTCACAGGCGGCGGTGTTAGTGAGTTGTGATTACAATCCACACACACATATGGTACAGTATATTGAGTGTATAATAGCTTTTTTTTAAATCCTAACAGAATCCACCAAGCTGTTAAGTGATGGGAACCCACACATGAAAATCACCTTTGTTCCTAGTACATCACTGGCTTTACAAGCGAGGACTTGGGGTGTATCGCTAAAGCTCAACAGAGATTAAACAATGCTGTGATACAACTTTTCTTATTAAAAAGAATTCTTTATTTAAGTTGTGTGTACTGGCTTTATAAATGAACTAATTAAAGATGTATTAATGTCCTATAAATCAGTAAAAAGTGATGTTGAAGAACAGCGACTGGATGGCCATTTGTAAACTATCCCAACAGTATATTCTCCTCTGCCATGACTTGTGTTTTTAGCTAGCTCGTTATTAGAAAGCAAAAAACTTGTGACTATTTATTAATATATTTGTATCTTCAGACCTGATGGTTTATAAGAAAGTAAGCTGTTCTCCAGATACAACTATCCATTATATTTGCAGATACATGGATTTTGTTGTGTGTACTTTGCACTTTATGCTAACATCTGCTAATTAGCACTAACCACAAAGCAGGCTATAGCTCAGGCTAATAGGAATGTGAAGGGTAGGACACCACTAAATCTAATGTAGTCCAGTACAACACCACCTTTAACTATGACCTCAGTAATAAACATATAAGTGAATTTATACATTTATGACCATTTCACCAAAAACTGAAACATTTTGAGCTTCATAAACACAGATGTTAAGGCGGAAGTGTTACACTGAAGTCTGTGCAATTATACAAGTGTACCTAATAAAGTGGCTAGTGAGTGTATATGACAAACAGAATCAACCCACCAGGTCAAACGTCATTGAGTCCTTGTTGAGAGCCTCCACATCAGGCAGTCGAGCCTTCACCTGGGTCTTGATGTAGCACTTCTCTCCTCCTGAAAACCGGATCCCTGTGATCCCCTGGAGAAGACAGGGAGTAAAGGGAACGAATGTGAAGCTGGAGGTTGGAACTCATAACTCATCTAGATGGGGTGCTGTCCTCTGAAATCTGCAGGTGTCTGGGATTACACAGGCACATGCAATGCAGCACATCATATCCGTCTGGTTTTGATTAAACTTGGGGGGGGATGATGTATTATAGCAATATATTCAAGATTAAAAACTACACTCACGGGGACAGTATGATTAAAGGTCAAAATTTTAATAGTTAAAAGGCCAAAACTGCTGCTTCACTAGTCTGATTGGCCTGATTGGGGTGCTTTAATTAAAGGTCAAAAACCACCAGTCCGAGTTTAATGAAAATTGGAGGGACGATGCAACTTGACACTGATTGGCCCAAAGGGGGATAACAGGTCTTCTTGTACTTAAATTATCTGCTGCTGCAACAAGCAAATCACTCTACAAGGGTCTTTCAATGTTCAGCAAATCTGACTGACTTCTTCTCTGATGCTCCGTATTACGTGTATAGTGCTGATCAGTGTGTTGACGAGTTTTGTTTCTTGTTTCCTTTTTTTTTTTAAATGTATGTTCCATCCAACTCACAATCTCAAAGTCATGGACCTCCATGGCCTCATCCGCCCCGCTGCCGGTGCTGAATCTCTCCATGTTATTGGCCGTATCAATCTCCATTGAACCCTCCTCCACTTTGCCATTGATGCTCATGCTGTAGTGGATATTGTAGACCTCCACACACACACATACAAGATTTTAGACTGGCATGTAAGGTATGAGATGTCACCCCACCCCCAGACCTCTCTCTTTCACCCTCCCTCACCCTCCTTCTCCAGTCTTACCCCATGAATTTTCCTCACATACAGCTTTTCTTTTTTCCATTTTCCCTTTCAGATGCACACATTCATTCAAACCTGGTCAGAGAAGTACAATCCTGACAGCTCTGGGTGATGGTGACCCTTCTACAGAGCCCTTTCATTGTGTCTTAATAGCATTTTCTAACTTCATATTGAACCACCAGACAGCTACAATTTTCCCTCTCATCTCTTACACCTCTTGCCCCCAGAGCATCAGCTGGACCAGAGAGCCCCCACCCCCCCCCCTCTCCCCCCCGCCACAGTCCTTCCACACACACCACCTACACA